GAGGTAGACTTGGGATGTTGTACGCCGATAGAGACTGGAATTTCGTGATCTTTCACCGCATTGCGCAGACGAGGCCTTGGTGATCAGCGACTCTCCTTTGAGGGGCGGTGCTCGAGCAACGCTTGTCCAGGGGAAGCGGAATGAAGTGCGAACGGCTCTGCGACTTCTGCAGTCTGAAATCGTCGAGTCTGTCTCCGTCCCTTGGCCGTCGTTGACTGTGCACTGATCTTTGCGTCGTAAAGGAAAGTGTATGTCTACAGAGAAAGCAATGGAGTCGTTAAAGGTCGTGAAAGGTCGCGATGAGGGTCGTACGTCGTACGGATGGGCATTGTGGATCCGAATTCTGCAGCGCGCATTTTCTTGTCTCAGCTTCGGTGCTTACTTACGCTGCTGCAGCAGGCAGGCAAGCAGCGAGAAACGACGCACCAAATCTGGGAAGGTCAACATCTACGAATGCCTTCCAAGCTTGTCTCCCTCGCGCCTGAAGTTCTTGGCCTGCGAAGTCGTCGGCGTTAGTGACTGCGTGTCGAGAGGGGAAACGCGGAACGCACCATCCTCTGCTTCTCCCTCGCAGCCTTCGCTTCAGCCTCCGCCTCCCTTTCGAGCGCGATGATCTCGGCGCGAGCTTCCTTGACGGCTTGACGGGCGCGAAGGAGGGCCTGGGAAGAGATGTCAGTAAGAGATTGGAGGAGAGGAGCAGAAGGACGCACGGCATCAGCTGCGGATTCAGCCTGTTGAGCGGCCTGAAGCTTCGTGCGGGCGCCAGCGAGCGTGTCGTGCCTACAGCCCATTGTCAGTGTGTTGACATCAGCAAGTGAGAGGAGACGTGCACCCACTTGGAGAACCTGTGTCCCGATAGCACTCCCTCGCTTTCGCTCGACGACCCACTCCCCCTCTTCTTCCCCAACAATCCTCCCTGCCTGTTCCCATTCACCGGCTGGACATCGGGCGACGTAGTCCTCGAGACGCTCTTGCGCTTGCCGAACAAGCCGGGCCCGCCGCCGTGAGGAGTCGAGGTAGTGGTCGTGACAGTTGTGTGTGAGGCAGGAGGAGCAGAGGGAGGGAGGTTCTCGTTCGTGGCGCGGTTGTTGGAGCGAAAGAGACCCATAGCGTCGATGCGTGAAGGTGAGAGCAACTAGCGAGTCGATAGAGCGTGTGACAGAGGAGCGAGAGAGCAAGAAAGCCGACCGTCCTCCTCCGCCTCAACCCCGCCTCACATTCGTCCTTGCCACCTACGCAATCTGTTCCTTTCTTTGTGACGCTACCGCAGATAAGAAAGCACGAAGCGCAGCCGAATTGCAAGGATCAGCAGGACAGGAGCTTCGTTCCGTCATTGGTTTCGATCCTGCCTGCTCTCTCCTCGACGGCCAGCACCGTAGCAAGGCATGCACTGCATTCCACTCCTCGTCTACCATTCTTCAGAGGCGAACGTGCAGACTCTTGGCCTTGGTGACCGCGTCGTACCCGTACCTCGACAACGAGATCCCCCTCCCCGAGTACTTGAACCCAGTCCAAGGCAGCGCAGGGTCGAGGTAGTCGCAGCGGTTGAGGTAGACGGTGCCGGCGTCGATGTCGTCGACGAGCGAGTCGTAGGCGCTCCGGTCTTTGGTCCAGATCGAGCAGGTGAGGCCGAAGGGGGAGTCGTTGATCAGGCGGAGCGCTTCGGCGTCGTCCTTGACCTGCAAGAGAGTGCGATATGCCGTCAGTTTACGCCCACTTCCTCTAGCGCAGTCGAGACTCGACGGGGAGACCTGCTCAGCGCAGCAAGCACGTGGGCGAGCCAGATGCACCTTCATGATCCCGACAACCGGTCCGAACGTCTCCTCGCTCATGACCTTCATCGAGTGGTCAACGTCGACGAGAACCTGCGGCGCGACGTAGGTCGTCCCTTCCTTTGCTTCGGGGAAGTGCGACTCGGGGATGAGGGCGCGGGCACCTTTCGAGACTGGAAAGCGGATCGAGTTCAGCTGAGAACACATGGGAGTGATGTGCGAGCGAGCGCCGCACCAGCTTCTGAGACGTGCTCGCGGATCGTGGCGGCGGAGCGGAGCGAGATGACCGGTCCGAGAGTAGTGTCGTCCTGTCGAGGGTCGCCGAGCTTGTAGCCCTGTGCGGTTGTCAACCCTTGTTGATCAGCAGCAGTATCAAGTAAACATTCAGGCCGAATGAGAAAGGCTTCGACGCGCACCTTGACGACCTTGACAACCTCCTCGACAAACTTGTCGTAGATCGACTCGTGCACGTAGACTCGCTCAACGGCGCAGCAGCTCTGGCCGGAGTTGAACATAGCTGCGCGTGCAGCGATGTCAGCAAGTGAACGAAAGCGGGAGGAAGGAAGGAAACAAACCGCCGTCCACAACGTTCTCAGCGGCGTAGGCTGGGTCGCAATCTGTGCGGTGATTCAAGCAGAAACAGCAGCGCATCAGCATAGTTTGACATCGAATCAAGCGCGCAATCGAGCACCGTCAACGCACCTTCCCTGACATACGCCGCATCCTTCCCACCCAACTCGAGTCCAACCATCTTGAACCCGGCGCCGTTCTCCGCCGCCAGGGCCGCAGTCTTCTCGACCCGCTTGCCGTTCGCGACTGAGCCGGTGAAGGAGATGAAGGGGATGAGAGGGTGCGAGACGAGGTAGTCCATCTGGGGAGGGGTGAGGTGGAGAGTCTGCGGGCGGGTGGAAGTCAGCGACCGGTCAAAGTCAGGTAGCGCACCGAGGCACACCTGGATGAGGTCCTTGGGCAGACCGGCTGCCTCGAAGCTCTCCTGGATGCGCTCAGCGACGAGCGGAGTTTGCAGCGAGGGCTTGAGGATGACCGAGTTACCAGCAACGAGCGCGGGGATGAGGGCGTTGACTTGGATCATGTCTACGAGCGAGAAGGGTCAGCGCGAACTCGAAAAGCGAAATTGGGCGAGACGCGGCGCGTACAGGGGAACTGTGGGTACAGAGTCAAGAGAAGGGCATCGTTCGTCAGCAAGTCGAGGTGGTCACAAGCCCGTAGACAAGCGACCCACGTTCCAAGCACCGACGAGCAAGCACACGCCGACGGGCGCCCTCCGGATGATCCTGTTGAACCCCTCTGGCCGTCCGTCGTCGACAATCTCATCCGCAAGTGCCTTCTCCGCCTGTCCAAGCAACCAAGACGCGCGGTCCTTGAACGTCGCAAACTCTGCTGCCGTGTACTTCTTCGGCCGTCCCATCTGCTCGGTCAATTCGGGGCCCAGCTCGAGTGCGCGGGAGGAGAGGTGGTCGACGCCGAGGTGGACGAGGCGGATGCGCTCCTTGAGCGGGAGCTTGCGCCAGGACTTGTACGCTGCATGCGAGCGCTCGACTGCCGCATCGAGCTCGGTGTTCGAAGTCGGGTACGGGCGCTTGACAACTTCGCTGCCGTCGATGGGCGAGAGGGTGGTGAGGGTGGTCGTCGAGTCCATCGGGGCGCGGTGGATGGGATCAGATAGGGTAGATAGGGTTGATCGAGTGTCAGATAAGCGGTTTCAGCCCGGTCAGAGCGACCTGTGGCAAACACGAGCTTGTGTGAGATGAAGAAGGAGCGGGGAGGAGAAGGTTGACCTCATCCACCTCGCTTGCTCGCTGAGAGGCTCGCTGGGACTGCCAGAGTTGATCAGGGATGCTGCTAGAGCCGGCCAATGCGGGTGCCGACCCTGCCCTTGCTCTCGTTCGCGACATCTACCCCGCCGACCTCCTCGTCCCCGTCTCGCATGCCAGACCCCGACAACCGGGCGAGAAACCCTTCGTAACCCTCACGTATGCCCAGTCGTTGGATGGCAAGATCGCGGGAAAGGGCGGGAAGCAGCTCCTGCTGAGCGGGCAGGAGAGCATGACCCTCACACACCGGTGCGCTCCCTTCCTCGGCTGTCTTCGTGCGAGGTCATCGCCTGTGGGCTGATTCGAGACTCCCACGGACAGGCTACGACAGCTGCACGACTCGATCCTCGTCGGAGTGGGCACAGTCATCAACGACGACCCGCAACTGACAGGTTCGTTGCTCTCGCTTCATACAGCCTCGATGCAGGACTGACGGACTCCTCCCTACAGCCCGCATTCCTCATCTCCTACCCCTTAAGGACCAGCCACTACCGATCGTGCTGGACTCATCCTTGCGCATGCCGCTCACCTCGAAACTTCTGTCGAATGCTCGCAAGGGCATCAGTAAAGCTCCGCTGGTCGTCTGCAAGCGTCTCAGGGTCGGCGAAAAGGGGTTGGAAAGCCAGGCAATATCAGAGGCTGGAGGGAAAGTCTACATCGCGAATGATTTTGGTGAGCGGCTTTCTTTCATGCATTGTTTCGGCTCTCACGCCATCGTTTTGCAGGTCGCGGCATCGACTTGCGCAAGTTTATACACGACCCTGCCGCAACACCTTTTCTCGGCCGCTCGCTCATGGTCGAAGGTGGAGCCTCGGTCATCTCCTCCTTCCTCGCGACACCCGGCCTCGTCGACCTTGTCATCGTCACTGTCGCGCCTGTACTAGTAGGAGACGAGGGAGTCAGCGTCACGAAGGAGGGAGTGCGTCCGCTCTCCTAACTGCACATGATCCGGTTGAGCTGATGGGCACGGTCCGCAGGTCGACCTTCCTCGACTCGAACACGTCCGGACGCAAGTCTTCGGGAAAGACGCGGTCTTTGTCTGCAAGCCAGTGTATCCTTAACCCTCGTCAACAGCGCATGCTCGTCGGAACATTCCTATCTATCGGTGCGTTCTCGCTCGTCTTCTCGCTTCCCGCGTCTCGCTGACCTGACTCCCGCTGCAGCTCATTGTACCACGACCCACACATACACCACATATGTCGTTGCCAACTCCTGCATTGCCATCGCTCGTTCGCTACGATCCAGGTGCCGACTCGCTCGCTGCTTCCGCCGCATCGCGCGCTTCTCGTCGTTTCCGCGCCCACTCGCGCGCCCTTTCCGCTTTGAGAGCCTGCTTCGCGCGCCGTTCGGCGTCGCCGACGGTGTCGCCTGTATTCGCTGACGCGGGTGGATCAGGTGCCGAATCGAGGTCGGCTAGGTTTGCGACAGCTTGACCCGCACCCGCTTCAGCTTCGGGCTCAGCTCGCCCACCCGCCTCCTCCTCCTGCTCTTCCTCGTCCTCACTGTCACTTCCATACCCCACCAACCCCGCCAGTCCCTCCTTCTTCGCCTCATCCGCCTTCACCTGCCCACTCCCCTCCTTCCTCCTCCCATCAACCCCCCTCTCGCCCCTCCTAATCTCCCCCCAAACACTCCTCCAACGTCCTCCCTCCCGGAGGAACGCAAACCGCTCGTCTTTGCTGTGGTTTGCGAGGATACGGAGTTCGAGTAGGGAGGGGTTTGGAGAGGACGAGAGGGTCGAGTGAAGGCGGGTCATGAGGGCTAGTTGGGTTGCGTCGGGCTGCTCGTCCATCGTTAGCCTACACTTGAAGAGAACACGAGGAAGGAGCGAGAGCATGGACACACCTCCTCATCCTCCCCTCCCTCCCTCCTAACCCTCTCGCTCTCCTCCCTCTCCAACCTCTCCACCTCCCGCACCCTCTCCTCCCTCTCCTCCTCCACCTTCCTCCGTCGTTCTTTGTGTGCGACCAGCGCACGCTCGGAGGGTGTGAGGAAGAAGAGGTCTTCGTGTAAGGGCGGGAGGTGGGTGAATCCGCGGGGGTCGGGGGGCGCGGAGGAGGAGGAAGAGGGGAGGGAGAGGGTGGAGGGGAGGAGGTGGAGGATGTCGTAGCTAAGGGAGTAAAAAGAGGGAGATGTCAATTCAGTCGGACGAACGAGAAGGAGTCGCTCGAGAGATACCTCGTCCTCCCCTCAGGCCTCGCAACCAGCGCCTTATAGCAGATCAGTCTCCCCTTTCTCCCGTGCGTCCGAGAAGCCTTCCAGCAGAGCTCATCATGCCTCGTCCAAACCGTTTGAGAGAAGCGATCCTTGATACAAAAACCCGTCTCCTCGCGCTACACCTCGGGAACCCACGCCCGCCGTGATGCAAGAGAAGGACATACCGATCAGTCCTGACCTCTATCTCTTCCCCCTCCTCCTCCTCCGCCTCCTGCTCTGCCTCACCTCGTGAAACCCGTCCCTTCCAAACAACCACCTCAGGCGCGTCCACTCCTACTTCCCACTGCAGTCTGGAAGGTAAAAGCGTCGCTTCCCATGCCTGCACTTGTGCGCCCGAAGCTGTGGAGGAGGACGAGGGGCGGAGAGGGGCGGAGGGGAGGGTGGTGAGATGTGAGGGGAGGAGGAGCGGGCTGGGTGGTGGAGAGTGTTTGCGAGGGCGCTTGGAGGGGGCAGGCATAGAGTGCGTAGATCTGAGCGGAAGCGGAGGAGCGGTGTGAGCGGTGTGAGCGGCAAGGAGGAGAAGGCGCGAAGGAGGAGAAGAAGGACGGGCAACTCTCGCTTGCGAACGTTTCGACAGACTCGAACGGACCAGTGAGATGCGAAAAGGCCCTGCGAGTTATCGTTGCGAGGAAGGTGAAGTGACTACGAGTACAGCAAAGCGGAGTAGGGATATCGAGGAGGGTGGAGTGCCCAGATGGCGAGAGGAAGCGTGGCGTCTTGCTCTTGAGTGAGACTAGAAGACGAAGAGACGCCGGGAGGGCGGAGAAAGTCGAAAGAGGCGGAGGGAGAAGGGCGAGGAGGAGGAGTCGAGAGGAGGGCGACGGTGCGGGAGATTAAGGCTCGACGGCGCCGCCGCCGACTTGCGCGAGGTGCATGTCGATAACCTCTTCCTGTCGTGTCGAGGAGATGCGGACGAGACAACGAGGGAGCGGAGTTAGTACAGTCGAGCGAGAGTGACGCCGCAACTCTGGATGGAATCGGGCCGCACCTCTTCAAAGTCGAGCTGTATCGCAGAGCGGAGAGGTTAGCAAAGTCCGACTGTGCAGGGGCGAGTCGAGAACGCACGCTACCCGGGGCTGAACGGTCGAATCAAGGAGTGTCAAAGACGATGTCAGTGACCAGGCGCGATATGCGACGTCCGCAGCGATCTCGACGCACTCTCCGTCTTCCCGATCCTGTGCCCTTCGAAAGACAATGTGAAGCTGTCCTCGCTCTTGCCCTGGTGTTCCGCAACAGCCTGTGCCGCAGACCGAAACCCTCGTCAGCGCCTCAGCTTTGCGAGGAAGGGTGCGAACGCACCCTGTAGATCTTGGAGAAGGGCGTATGGGGCTTAACGTTGATTTGCAGGTCTGCGCGCGCGCAAGGGCAAGAGCAAGGCCAGGACGAAGGATCAGTCGACTCGAAGGTTCCTCGTCCAACCCGGGTTGCAAAGCGGAGCGCACCATCCCGGTCTGCACCAAACCGCACAGTGATCTTGATCTTCTGCACGTCCGGCTGCGAGGAGCAGCTGTCGAGGATCAGCCTGTCCGCCTTCACGAGTCGAGGAGCTGGAGGACGGGCGCACGCACCTTTTGTTCCGCCCCGCCGTTGTCCTGGCCCGGGTCTGGTTTGACAGCTGCCATCCTGCGCTTGCTTCGAGCTGGTCGGTGAGCGATGAGCGGTCAGAGGCAGGTCCTCCCACCGCGTCGCGACGAGGACACGAAGTTCGCTCTCTCCCATGCTCACACACGCGCTGGAGGAATGCCAAAAGCTACGAACGCACTCAAACACGCTGCGAAACACACCAGATGGACTCCGACTACTCGCCCAGTCGCTCACTCGCACGCTCACTCCCCCTCGCAATCTTCATCAGTGCGAACGCCTACTCCTCGCTCGGCAGCTCGTAGTCAGCCAGGAAGGGACGAGTGGGCACTGTCGTGGCTGCAAAGGTGGGACAAGGGCAAGGCAAAGTGGATCAGGGTCGACGAGGGCGCTTTACCCGTCGACGCTCCTCTCCTCCCCCCTCGATCCTCGCACACCCACCCCCGCCTCTCATTCATGACCTACAACACCTTCTCCTCCTCTCCCACTCACACTCGCGCCCAGTCACTAGCCCTCGCATCGCTCATCTCAGACTCAGGCTGCGCCTTTATCGCACTCGAGGAAGTCTCCGCCCCGTTCTACCGCTTCCTCCTCGCCCAACCTTCCTTCCGCGACTCTGGGTACGCAGTCTCGACGCCTGAGAAGTACTGGCACATCAGTGGTCGAGGGAGTCCGAATCGAGGGAAGGAAGGAGCGAGGGAGGCCTGTGTCGTGCTTGTCAAGGAGGGGTTGCTGGGACGGGGAAGTGAGGTGAGAGTGGGGAGGCTGGGGAGGGGGAGAGATGAGGGCGGGAAGGCGGCTGTTGGCGTGCGGGTGTTCAGTGGGGGGAGGGAGGTGGTGAGTCGCCGTCGTCTCACCGCTGCCTCTCCCGCTTGCTTGCTAGGCGGCGAAGGCATTCGGAGCTTCGGCCATGATTCGCTGACATACATTCACACGCAGCTCCGACTCGCCACCTCGCACTTCTCCTCCCTCCCCTTCAACGCCTCCCTCCGCACACGCCAATTCCGTACCTGCCTCTCGTTCCTCTCGCAGCGCTCCGCCTCATCCACCAGCTCCGACGCCACCTCTTCCTCGTCAATGCGAGAAGTTGCAGCGAAGCCAGTCTGCGTTTTGTTGGGCGACTTCAACGCCTCGAACGGCGCGGAATTCGACTCGCTCACATCCGACTCTTCGCTCGCTCTCGTCGATGCTTTCGACCTCTTCTCTGCGCGATCGCACTCGAGCTCTCGCTCAAAGGAGAGCAAGAAACGCGCTCGCTCCCAGCGCGAAGACGGAGCAGGCGCAGGCGACTCGGACTCATTCCGCGCCCCTCCAACGTTCGGCCATCTCTACCCCTGGATCCGCCCACCCTCGACACTCAAAACCCGCACTCCGAAGCCGCGCAAAGTCCGCCGCATCGACCGGGTGTACATCTCCCCCTCGTCCGAGGTCAACGTGCGTGGGTACGAGCATCGAGGAGGTGAGCCGCTCGAGGGCGAGACGGACGGGTGTGGGAGGGATGGAGGGATGTTTGCGAGCGATCATGAGGCCGTTGTCGTCGAGGTGGAGTTCGTGGTGAAATGGTGAGACGAGGGTCGTCGGCCGTCGTCATTCGATTCGATTTGGCGAGAGTCCCTCTGAGGGAGCCTCCTCGCGCTTTTCCTCCTTCGACGCTTCGTGAGCTGTTACTGCGCAGGACTAGACAGTGCTACACGCTCGCACAGCTGGACCGTCTCGCTCCGTCGGCCCACTCGCTCGTCCTCCCTGTGCCGACCCCTTCGAGGCAGAGCAACTCGACCCGTCTCGTCGCCCTCCTCCACCCTGCGTTGCCCAGTCTGCACCCTGCTCACTCCGACCAGCACTCTCTCCACCTCCCGACCCACCAGCAACCTCACCGCAGTCTCGAACGAGTCCCCACCTCCTCATCACCCACCCCCTCCAAACTAGCCGATTCCCCTCGATCCCACCCTCACGCAGCCCAGGATGCCTTCTCTACACGACACCCGGCTCCTCTCAAACTTGCTCAAGACGGAGAAGGACTCGGCTCAGGCGTGCGTTCCCACCACGCCCCTCTTCTCCCGCGAGATCGAGGATGCTGATGGGTTGGCTTGGCTTGGGCGCGCAGGTTCAAGCAGTATACGCTTGCGGCGCAGTCGGCGAGTGCGGCGTTGAGTGCGTGGAGTGTCGCAGACTCGACGGGCACGGGGGACTTGATGGTGCGTTTCGCGAGGGTCATTCGCTTGCTCCCGCTGGTTGCTCTCCAAGGGGCGTCGTGAGCTTGGAGTTGACCGCCTTGTAACATACAGGACGCCGCGATCCGCATCTCCCAGCTCCTCTCAACCATCACCGACTCCCAACGCCTCTACCTAACCTCCCTCACCACCTACCGCTCCTCACTCAAAGACGTCCTAGCGCGCGAACAAGCCCTCCGAACAGTCGTCCGCGACCGCGAGATCCTCGTCAATCGACTGATCAAGATTGGGAATAAGAGACCGAAGGATGGGGGCGAGAGGGAACATGAGGCCAAGTTGGAGGATGCACAGAGGGAGTTGCAGGCTTGCGAGAGTGCGTCCCGAGGTTCTCGTTCTCTCGATGTTCTCGCCGTCGGAGCTGCGTCGCTGATTGTAGAAGCTGTTGGGCCCGCCGCACAGCCTTCTTGCAGGAGGAAGAGCTCGCCCTCGCTCACGCCAAGCGGCGCTCGTTCCGCGAGGCCCTCAACGCCCGCATGCAAGCGATGAATGCCCTCTCGCACGTCATGGACGACTGCTCTGTCGAGGCGGTCGACATCCTCTCGACCCTCCAAAGCGACAACTTTGAGCCCGCGCACCCGGACGGCGACGTCCAGCTCAGGAGGGAGTACGACCTCGGTTCCGACGCGGGGGACTCGATCGCACCCAGCCAGTCAGCCAGTCAAGCCATGTCCCGTGCCTCGTCTTCCTCGTCCCTCTCCAGCCTGAACCTCCAACAAGCCCCTCCGATCCCTCACAACCTCCAAATTGACCCTTCCTCTCGCGCGCGCTCCACGAGCCCGAGCAGGGCAGCCCAAGTCCCGCTTCCAGCTTCGCCCGTCCCGCGCGCCAAATCACCCGCTCGTGTCACGTCGACCCTCCCTCCACCCGTGATGATGCCGCCCGTCCCATCCGCCCCTCCGCCCGTCTCGAGCCAAGTCTACACTGAACGCCAGCCCGGCCTTCCGACGTTCGAGATCCCCAAAGCTCCGAACCTCCTTCGAAGGCCGGACGAGTCTTCCTCCGACGAAGAAGACGAGCAGTACGGCGGCTTGAGGCGAAACGAGCGCAGTAGTCATTACCCGCTTGATTCGCCGGCGTATGAGCAGCCTGCGCGGTTGAGGCGCAGGGCGGCGAGCGATACGAGCTCGATTCGTGGTGGCGGAGGGGGCAGGAAGAGGAAGGGCTCGTTCCTCGGCGGTCTGGCGAGCTTGTTCCGCCGCAACAAGAACCGCGACCGAGACTCGATGTCGGTGCGCGACTTTGAGACGGGCGGATCGGCGGACTATGCGGGTGCGAGGTCGAGGCTTGCGAATTCTGCTGGCGGAGGAGGAGGAGCGGCTGATGGACGCAACGACGCCGTCATGCGCTCGGTCATGAACGCCGGTCGTGTCCCCGCTCGTCGACGCGCAGGAGCAGACGCCGACTCGTCTGACGACGACGTCCCGCGCCACTTGACCAAGCACGTCAACGACCCCAAGGCGCGCATCAAGGCTCTCAGCGACGTCGGTCGGCCTTCGAGTCCTGCGATGCCTGTCTCAAGCGCGAGCGCAGGGAGGCCGAAGCTCCAGCGCAAGGGCACGAGCGCGAGCACGGTCCGTCCTATGAGCGTCGCGGGCGTGCCGGGACACGAGACGGCGCCGAGGAGGAAGAAGGCGAGCTCGACCACCGGCGGGACGAAGAAGGTCAAGAAGGCGGCGAGCGATATTGGCGTCACCTCGTCCGGGTGGAAGAGCACCGCTCCGCCGGCTTCGTTGCAGGTCCCCAAGGCGCCGACGACGGACGGAATCGCGGACCTCGCGACGGGCGTCTCGCTCCCTCCCCCTCCCGCGCCAATCAACTTCCCCTCGCCTGCGTTCGCCCCGCGCCAGTCAGGCGGCACGCCCGCCGCACCAGCCGAGACGGGTTCTCTCAAGCGGAAGAAGACGAAGAAGGTTCCTGCTGCTGCCGCACCGAGCGGCTCGGTCACGCCTACCCAGCCCGCAGCCCACGCACACGGATCGAAGCACCACCACCCCGACACGGTCATCCTCTCCGCCGAGGCGCTGGGGATCCCGACTGCCGGTGCGATCCCGCAGCCCCAGCAGCCCCAGCAGCAGCAAGGGTTGGTGAGGAGCAACACGACTTCGACGCAGGCGACCACGATCAAGCGCAAGAAGAAGAAGTCGGTCGTCCCTCCCAACGTCGATGGCGTCACGGCCAACGGCGTTCACAGCCAGCAGAAGGCCCTCCCGACGGCTGATCAGCTCGCTGCGACCCTCCCGCATGCCGTCTCGGGCAGTTCGGCGCTGAACGCGCACCTCCCCCGCCCGGACGAGGACACGAACGCGTATCAGCACACAACCAAGCAGCCTCGGCCCGTCTCGAGCGCGACCGTCACTCCCGCCTCGACGCAGCCAACCTCGACGCAGACACCGGCAAACAAGCCGATCATCTCGCTCGCGGCGCAAGAAAAGCGGTCGAAGCGTCTCTCGGCCTTGCACGGCGACGCCAACTGGGTCCAGCACCCTCCTCCTCCCGCCGCTGCGCCTCGCGCGTCGCGTGGACGAGCAGACGTCCACGAAGGCGAGGAGAGCCTGCTCAGTGTTGTTGACCGCGCGGAAGGGGCAGAGACCGTACAGCCTTCGAGGACGTATGGCGCGCAGTCGACGGTCGCCGGCACCAATGGGGGGTTGAGTCCCCCTTCGGCTGGAGAGACGCCCGACCGCTCTACCTCCTCGACTTCGACTCCGCAACTCTCGAAGCGCAAATCCGTCCGACTAGCCGAGACGTCCGAGGATGCCTCGGCTCCGAAACCCACCTCCACTCTCTCGCCTTCCTCGTCAATCCGCTCCGCAACGTCCGCACCCCGCCCGGGAATATTGATCCAACGCGACCCCTCCCCCGTCCCAGGCTCGCTGGCCGCCTCGCTCCAGACCTCCCCTTCCTCCTCTCACTCTCATTCGCAGGGAGACGCAGGGAACTGGCCCACCCGCGCGAGTTTGCGCGCGGCGATGGCTGACTCGTCTGATGAGGAAGGGAGCGACGGGGAGGGGATGAAGGCGTATCGCCAGGCGAGGAAGATGCTTGGAGGGCGGACGAGGGAGATGCAGAGGGCGCTGACGAGGGAGGAGAAGGGGAAGGGGAGGGCTGAGTAGAGCGGCGAGAGGAGGGGGACGAATTAATCTATCGTAGCTTTTCTGTTTCTTGAATGACTCGCAGGGAGAGAGATAGAGCGAGAGATCTTGTGGACGCTTTGTGATTTGCAGTAGACAGAGAGAGAGAGAGCTAGAATGCGAGTTGACGAAAACCGAGCGAGAGCGAGAGAGAGAGAGAAGTAGGGAGAAAGCCCACCACCGCCTACTGTCAAGCCATCCGTCTGTCCTACACCGCGAACCTGCCCTTCCAAATCCTCGCCACCACGCCGTTCCGGGAAAGACGAGCCGGGTATGGAACGAAGCGGGGACGAGCGGGCGAACGCGTGGATGAGAAGAGACGGAGAGGCTGACGAGTAAGAGGGGCGGAGGGGTCGAAAGGCGAAAGTAAGGAGAGTAAGGGGAGGAGGGAGAAAGCGGGACGATTGATATGGGATGCGTAGCGAGGTCGCTTAGAAACCGTGCATCCTGTGCACGGCCTTACCGTCAGCAATCATCTTCTCACAATTGCGGAAGCAGGCAGGAGAAGGAGAAGGTGAGGTGGGCGAGCGTCGAGGAACGCACTTGATCGTCTCCTTCTCGATCCCCTCCTCGATCAACATCTCCTGGATCTTGGTGCGCTGGTCGCCCTGGAGCTGGATGACTGCACGCCTCCAAAAACTACTAGTCAGCTTCCTCCTTGCGCAGGAGAGAGCGGACAATGAAGCGGAGGACGAACCCTTTCCGAGATCTTCGTCTTCGATGATGGCGCCATTGCAGGCGAACTCCTCTGTCGCCACACCCACACATCAGTACGCCCTTGAGTAGAGAGCGACGCGAGCGTTGAGGAACGCACTCTTGAAAGCCTTCAACAACTTCTTGAGGTCATACTCGGTCGGCACGCCCTGGAGGGTCGTGATCGTCTTGCGGCCGTTGCGCTGCTGGATGCGGATGTGGATGTGGTTGGCTGTGCGGCGGAGAATGGGAGGAGTTAGTTTGGGGTTGATTGAGGGTGAGAGGATGGGAGATTGGAGGGGGAGGAGGGGGCGATAAGGCGGGTTGGC